TTCTCTAGAAATAGCCGTGAGAACTGCTCCCAAGTAAGTGCAGGCGATCCAACTTGTCTGGTCAATTTATAATCTCACCACCACCTCTTGGCGAAACCCGTCATCTGAAATACAGCAAAATCGACCACATTGGTCTCAACTATACCCATATTACGCAGCACCTCATGGCAGCGGTCAAGATAATCATGTGGGTCCTCAGATGGTGTACCACCGAAGTGATTTGGAAAGAGCTTAGTAAACTTATCCAGTCTCAATAAGGCGTCAAAAAACATGGCGGGCCTATCATCGGTCTGTGCCGCAATAACTGGCTGAACTACCCCAACTGGCAGGGCTGCGGGAGCCTGATTCTGGGGAGCCATCTGCTCCGGAGCGAGAGTAGTGAGAGTTTGTGCTCCTCCCCTAACCTGTGAGATGGCTAGTTCCACTGAAAATGTACCATTCTGGGCCACGCCCTCCATAAGACTTACCAAACGGACTAGAGCGTCCTGAAGCACTGGAGTAGCTATAAATCCTTTCGGGACCTGAACTGGTCCAGCCGGTACAGTCTAATGGAAACCTCCTCCTGAAGATCCACCTGAGGTTCTACAACAGGTGCTGTTGTTCGAGCTCTAGACTAAGCTCTACCTCTGCCTCTGCCTCTACCTCTGCCTCAGCCTCTAACACGACCTCGGCCTCGACCTCTACCCCTGGTCATAGTTTCCACTAGGGGCTCTGGTCCCTGTCCGTTGGTAGATACATTACGTGTTCTCACCATCTGCAAAAGAATAAGAATAGAATGGTTCAAGTATCGATGATAGAATAGGATCGCACGACAGAATAAGAAAGAAGTGATATTGTTCCTAAACTTTATAGCCTCTGAAAGATAAGTACAGACGTCTTCGTACCTATCCTTCAGACTCTACTAAGTTTGCTCGTGACTCGTGAGACCTATGTAACCTAGTCCTCTGATACCAACTGTCACGACCCAAAATTTTCACCTTCGGGTCCGTGATGGCGCCTAACATTTCACTTGCTAGGCAAGCAAACGTTATAATATAACTAGTCATTTTAACAAAATTTTAAATTAATTAATAACAAGGAAACAAATGCGGAAATAAAGTCTGAAATATAGTGAATAATCTATAATAATCGCGATATCTAAATATCATCCCAGAACTGGAGTCACAAGTGTACAGGTTTCTAGAATAATACAAATAAAGGTCTGAATAAAATTCAAGCTGTTTGAAATATAATACACAACTGAGATAAGATAGAAGGGGACGTCAGAACTGCAAATGATGTGCAGTTATACCTCAAGTCTCCACTGGTAGCTATATTCGGGCAAATCTACAGTACGTCATTGGGACCAACTCTGAAATCTGCACAAGAAGTGAAGAGTGCAGTATCAGTACAACTGACCCTATGTACTGGTAACTGCTGAGCCTAACCTCGACGAAGTACTGACGAGGCTATGACAAGACACGTACATAAACAATATGTACAAGTATATACAAATACGAAGTAACAATAATACAATAAATAACAATTTACAAATTGGGAGGGAACATGCAAAGGGAAAAGATATAATAATTTCAGTAGGAGATGTATCACTTAGCAGTCAATTAATTCATCAATAATAAAATAAGCAATTGATAATATGAAAATGGCACGGTACCACCCTTCGTGCTTTTACTCTAATCTGACACGGCGTCACCCTTCGTGCTTTTACACTCACAAATTGCACGGCAACACCCTTCGTACTTTTGCACTCACAAATGACACGGCAACACCCTTCGTGCTTTAGCACTCACAAATGGCATGGCAATACCCTTCATGCTTTTACACTCTCCCTTACCATAAAAATAATAATATAAATTCGCAAGAGTATTTAAATGCGGGGATATACACTTATCAATCAATTCAATACCAAATAACCGACTTCACTATCCAAAATATTCAACAATAATTAAATGAATAATAATTTCACGAATAATGATCAAATAATCAGCAATAAACTTAAGCACGAATATCTTAATTAAATAGACAATTATTCACAATAAATAAATTTCACTCGCATGCTTTGACTCAACCATAACGCATAAGTACTCGTCACCTCACATATACATTGTACCCGTACATTAATCATGTAGCACATATAGAAATAAGTCATACTCCCTTAAGTCAAGGTTAACCACAATACTTACCTCGCTTGCAACCAAATTCAAGAATCCAATAAACCTTTGCCTCGCGAATTCTTGTCTGAAATCTTCAAATCTAGTCATAAACAGTTCACTATACTTAATACAAATCGCAGGAATTAATTCCATATGAATTTACTAATTTTTCGGATTAAAATCCGAAATTCATCTCAAAAATCATCAGTGGGGCCCACATCTCGAATCTCGAAAAAACTTACGAAATCCGAACACCCGTTCCGAGACGAGTCCAACCATACAAAAATTACCAAATTTCTACATTAGATTGGCTTTCAAATCTTCATTTTATATTTTTAGAAGATTTTATAAAAATCTGATTTTTTTTCTTCCATAAATTCACGGATTCATGATGTAAATGAGTATGGAATCATGAAATATAATTAATATAGGATGAGGAACACTTACCCCAATGTTTCCCAGTAAAAATCGATCAAAAATCGCCTAAATCCGTGCTTGAAATGTCTAAAAATGAGAAAAATCTCGGACCCTTCGATTTATACACTGCCCAGGGATCTTCGCATCTGCAGTGCCAGGGCTCGCACTTGCGCATCCACTTTTGCGGAATGGGTTTCGCTTCTGCGAACCTCACTTGCCCAGTCTCTGCTTCTTCGATGCTTAGGACCGCATTTGCGGTCGCGCTTTTGTGCAAAAATCGCCGCACCTGCGAAGATCCCAGGCCAGCCCCAGGCCCGCATCTGCGCAACTCCGCCGCACCTGCGGTTAAGACCCTCGCAGGAGCGATCACATCAGAGGCAGCAGTTCCAGCATTTTTCTTAAGTCCGGATTTGATTCGTTAACCATCTGAAACTCACCCAAGGCCCCCGTGACCTCAACCAAATATACCAACAAGTCCTAAAATATCATACTAACTTACTCGGGGTCTCATATCACGTCAAACAATGCTGAAATTATAATTTACACCTCGATTCGAATTTTTGAGTTTCAAACTTTTTAATTTACAAAACTCGTGCCGAAACATGTTAAATGAATCCAGAATGACTTCAAATTTGACACACAAGTCATAAATGACATAACGGAGCTACTCCAATTTTCAGAATCGGATTCTGACCCCGATATCAAAAAGTCAAATCCGTGATCAACTTTTGAAAATCTTTAGCCTTTAAAACACTAGTTTTCATTAAATGGTTATAACTTGAGATAGGGACCTCCAAATTAAATTGCGGGCATACGCCCAAGTCCCAAATCATGATACGGACCTACTGAAACTGTCAAAATACTGATCCGGATTCGTTTGCATAAAATGTTGACCAAAGTCAACTTAGTTGAGTTTAAGGCTCTATTTCACATTTTAATCAATTTTTCATATAAAAAATTTTCGAAAAATTATACGGACTACGCACGCAAGTCGAGAAAAGATAAATAGTATTTTATTTTTGAGGTCTTAGAACACATAATTAATTATTAAATGTAAAGATGACCTTTTGGGTCATCACACCAACTTTCACCACTTCATGACTAATTCCACTACGGACCTCCAAATCACAATCCGGACACGCTCTTGAGTCCAAAATTACCCAGCGGAGCTAACAGAATCATTAAAACTCCATTCTGGAGTCGTTTACTCATAAGTCAACCTCCGGTCAACCATTTCAACTTAAGCTTTCAACCTTAAGACTAAGTGTCTCATTTCATTCTGAAATTCCTACGGACCTGAACCGACTACCCCGGCAAGTCACATAATAGCTATAAAGTATAAAATGAGCAGTAAATGGGAGAACGGGGCTACAACTCTCAAAGCGACCAGTCGGGTCGTTACATATAACGAGGAAAATAGAGATAGTGCAAGGATACTTATATTTTGAAATTTCTTTATAAATAAATAAATAAAATTATTTAATAATACTCAAAAATATTATTAATAGATTTAAATGATGAAAGAGATCCGAGTAAGAGGATAATAGTGCAAAAATATATTACATTTCAAGAATAATTGTTTTTTACATTTATTGATGATCATTAAATGGGTAATAAGCAAAATATTAAATCAATTTATAAGCTAATAAAAGATCACATTATAGTATAACAATATTAGGTAATAAATAATACAAAAACTATAAGCAAGGAACAAAAAGAGAAAACAATTCTGTCTGAAAATGTAGAAGGATAAAACTTATTTGAATTTGAGTTGAAAAATAACGTGGTAGTAAGAATTTTATTATAATAATATAATTTAATGTGCTCAAATAAGACAGATCACAACATTACATGTTTAGTATTCTTTAATATTGGCCGTAAAATATAATACAAGTGTCAAAATCAAGGGATTGAATTATTACGGATATAGAAAAAGAAAACATGTTATCCACTATGAGATTTGTTAAAATGGTTAATTAATATCAAATAATTATTTATAATTCCTATATAGAAGGTTTAATTTTAAGGTTGTTTGCACATAATTCAAATAACCCAAATCATAATTTGCATGATTTACGTTCGCGCATCACGCGGGTACTGATACTAGTTGATAAGGTTAAAAAAATGTATGTTTTCCAATCTATTCCCTCCGCATCAAATCCAAATTGCCTTTTCTCTTGTTGCAACAACTCTAGATTCTAAATATTGCTACTGTCAAATAACTTTTCAATTAGGAAACAAATCAAACAATCCATCTTTGCTCTATGGAAACAATATTATAAACCATTATCTTTGTAATACAATAGTCATATTGTTTTCCTGGAAAGTAAATTATCTAGCTACTTTACTTTCCTTATAAAATCTATGCAAGTCTTAGCAAATTTGAACTATAAAAGCCTCTTTCACCTTGCACCAAAGCACATCATTGACATTTGAGATAAACTTCAATAAGAATGGCTAAGTTTTTTAACTCTGTTATTTGTTTCTTTCTCATTCTTTCAGGTTTGGCTCAAATTCTTTTTCTATGTTTATTATTTTATCTGTGATAAAAGAAAGTAATGCTAATTCCTTTTTCTATTTGTATGCAGTTGCATTGACAATTACTCAAGTAAAAGCCCAAACTAGATGCACTGTAACGTTGAATCCAAAGGAATGCATCCTTGCTAACTGTCAAAGAGAATGCTTAAAGATACATAACGGGAATGGAGTTTGCACTGGTGGTAACCTTGGCGCATTACATTGCGTCTGTGTTTACAATTGTAATTCCAATTAAACTTTCCTTTAATGTACCTTTGATCAAACACAAATATCCTATTATATATTATAAAATTCCATCTTGTTTATTTTATTTTGCCAACATTAGTTGAGATTGAAAGAAATAAAATTAAAAACAGACCCCTTATATTGTTGTCTTGTATTGTTGTTGGCAACATCAATTTCTGATTGATGTATCGACATACCTATTTGCATTCACATCAAACATACTAGTAATGCACCAATAATATTGAATACATTTATCTTTTTGGTTATTTAAAAATTGATTATGTCTACCTTTCTATAAGAAGCATGAATCGATAATCATTGCAACGATTGAAAATAACACTGATAATATAGAAATCCTTCCATTATCAATGATTTAAATTAAAAGCCCATTTGGACATAATTCAAAAAAAATTCACTTTTTTTTTAAATTAGTGTTTGTTCATAAAATTTTCAGTTTTCACTTGACGATGCATTTTGAAATTTTTTGAAATTTTGAAAAACTCCAAAAAACTGTTTTTCAAAATTTTCACTCAGATTACTTACAAAACTTCAAAAACAACCCAAAATTATATTCATGTCCAAACACAACTCTAATTTTCAAATACCATTTTCACTTTTTTTTTTGAAATTTTACAATTCTTATGTCCAAACGCCCACTAAATCCTCTTCTTTACAAGGGGAAGATGTAAATAATTGCAGGTTTAGTTTATTATTTAATTGGCAAACTAATTTTAAACATACTTAAATTTTGGTTGAAAATTTATCTTTTTTGAATTTTCACACAATGTTTAGCGCCGGCTTTAGGCCTCCATTATTTCAAATGCAAGACCTATTAACATAGGTGGAGCTAGGATTTGAAACTTATGGGTTGGGGATTATAATCATTTTAAGTAACTAGGTTTTAAATTAATAATTTGTACATATTTATTGAATTTCTTAATTTTAAACAAAAGTTATTGGGTTCGGCCGAACTCGCANTATATATATATATATATATATATATATACACACACACACACACATACACACACACACACACACAAAAACAAACACTAGTATTAGGGTATGCGCTTTGCGCGTGTACCCTATCTTAATGAATATAAAACTTTAAATTATGTTATTATTAATTATGTATATTATAGTATGAGATAGATTATACAAACTAATGTTGATAATAGTTACTATATGATATTGTAACGATCCGGCCGGTCGTTTTGAGAGTTGTAGCCGTGTTCCCCCATTTACTGCTCATTTTATGCTTTATAGCTGCTATGTGACTTGCCGGGGTAGTTGGTTCGGGTCCGGGAAGGTTTCTGTAATGACCATATAGGTCATTCTTAAATTTAACATTCAATTTTATGCTCTAAGACCTCGAATAGTACCATTCAGCATTTCTCGCCTTGCGTGCGCAGTCTGTATATTTTTCCGAAAATATTTTATGTGAAAAATGTGAAATAGTGCTTTATAACTCACTTAAGTTGACTTCGGTCAACATTTTAAGCAATCGAACCCGGATCAGTATTTTGATGGACCCAGTGGGTCCGTATCATGATTTGGGACTTGGGAATATGCACGGAATCAAATTCGAAAGTCTCTAGTTCGAATTATCGCCACTTGACGATTTCTAGTTAGAAACTTAAAGGTTAAAGATTTCTAAAGTTTGACGGTAGATTTGACTTTGTTGATATCGGACTTGGATTGAGATTTCGAGAGTTGGAATACCTTCGTTATGTCATTTGGGGCTTACCTGCAAAATTTGAGGTTATTCCGGATTGATTTGACATGTTTCGGCACGAGTTATAGAATTTAAAATTTCATAAACTCATAAATCCGAATCGAGGTGTGAATTATAGTTTCGACATTGTTTGACGTAATATGAGATCTCGAGTAAGTCCGTATTGTATTACGGGACTTGTTAAAATATTCGGATGAGGTCCCGAGAGGCTCGGGTACGTTTCGGATAAGTTTCGGACCATTTTTGTAAAATTTTGCAGGTCTGGTTCTGGTGTTTCGCACCTGCGACTTTTGTATCACATGTGTGGCCTCGCTTCTACGGAGAACCTTGTCTCTTCTGTTATTTGGATCCTGGGTAGTCTTCTCGCTTCAGCGGCTCAGCGACCGCAAATGCGAAGGGACCGCTTTTGCGGCTCCTTCATGCACAGCCGCAAATGCGTCTCATTTTCCGTAGATGCGAAAACCCGTTTGGTAAGCTTATTTAGCAGATGCGAGATTCTTCTCGCAAATGCGAGCCCGCAGATGCGAAAATAATGTCTGCAAATGCCAAATTGCTGGACAGAATACATAAAATCGGGTGTTTGCCATTTTTGCTTATTTTTGAGTTTTAACTCTCCGATTTAGGCGATTGCAAATGGGTTTTTCACAAGTTAGAACTGGGTAAGTGTTCCTTATCCTATATTGATTATATTTTATGATTTCATACTTATTTACATCATGAATTCGTGAATTTAATGGGAGAAAATCAGATTTTTATAAAATCTTTAAAAACTGTAAAATGAAGATTTGAAAGGCAATCCGATGTCGGAATTCGATAATTTTTGTATGGTTGAACTAGTATCGGAATGGGTGTTTGGATTCCGTGATTTTTCAACGGTTTCCAAAAAGTGGGCCCCACGTTGACTTTTGGTTGAGTTTTTCAAAAATGACTTAAATTAAGTCTCTTTGGAATTGTGAATAATTGCTAAGGCTCAAATTGAATTGTTGGTAAATAAATTTTTAGGTTTTATTGTTTTGGAGAATAATTGGAAAGGAAAAGCCGTGGTCGAGTGATCACTTGAATTGCGAAGCAAGGTAAGTATCGTGGTTAACCTTGACTTGAGGGAATAGAACCCTTTAACTATGTGTTATGTGAATTTCATGTGTAGCAATGTATAGACGAGGTGACGAGTGTCTATACGTCGTCAAATTGCTTGCTTCCATGTCTTTACGTATTTCATTAATTATCTGATTTCATGAATTAATTATTATATTAATTGATTCTCTTATTTTTATTGCCTACTATTATGCCTTAATTTCATGCCTTAATCGATACTTGCTTATTTGATTTTTGTGCCATAATTGCTACTTGATAATTAGCATGTCATATATTAAATTGCCTATCTCCTCCCTGATTCTACACTTAATTGTTACTTGCCCATATTTGTTTCTTACATAATTTATAATTATTGCATACTTTGTTGCCTAATAATTTCTTGTTAATTGTGGCATTTATTAAAGTAGTCTTACGTATAAGTGTTGTTAATTTATATTGTTGGAGCGTGTTGCACGTCGCAACGGGATTTATTTAAAAAATTATATTGTTAGATCGGGTTGCACGCCGCAAAGTAATTTATTTTAAGTTTATATTGTAGGAGAGGGTTGCACGCCGCAACGAAATTTAATTGAAGGTTGCACGCCGCAACAGAATGATAAAAAAAAGGCAAAAATCATATGCATCCCCCTAAACTTGTCCGGCTTTTTCTGTTAGACACCTTATCTAAGATTTGTTCTAATTGAACACTTACACTACTCAAAATCTATACCTATTAAATACTTTTTTTATAACGAGCAAAAAGCTAAAGAGAGTGTAATACACTCGCCACTAATGTGGCAAATTTACGAATTAACTAATGACATTTGGCATTGGGACCAAAATAATAATTAATAAAATAAATTATGAGGAAAAAATAAAACTTATTTTAAGAGAAAAAGCAAAACAATAACCTCACCCCATCCACCCAAACCGTCCCTTTCCTATTCTTCTGCTAAGCCCATAAGACACCGCCGTCTCCAACCACAATGTTCGTTTTTTTTCCTTTTCTTTATAGATTTAATTCATTTATAATTTTAGATCTGATATTTTTTTAGCTTTTGATCTAATATTTTCTGGAAGAACAGAGGAAGGGGGATAGAAAAGAGAGTGGTGGCAGTGATGGGTCTTCATTCTTTCCGGCGAGCAAGATGGTGGTGGTTGTCAGAATTAACAAAAAAGGAGGAGATAGTGGTGGTGGTTTTCATATCTGAAAAAGATGGAAAAAAAATGGTGATTGGAGTGGTGGTAGCGTCAGCAGCGATGATGGCAAAAGGTGGTGGCTCTTGTTCGAAAAAGGAGGAAGAAGCCGCGTGGAGGCGGCGGTAATGGCAGATCATAAAATAAAACGATGGTAGTCGTGGAGGAGGTGATGTGGCTGAAAAAAGATGAGAACGGTGGACTGTGGTGGTGACGGAGATGGCGCTAATGGTGATAGATGGTGGAAAAGTTAGAAATGAGGAAGAAAGAGATTTCAAAAAAGAGAAAAAAGCTAAAAAAAATAATAGATCTCACGCTCTTAGGGTAGGTGTATCATACACACTATGCCATATCAGCAAAAAGTATTTAATGGAAATAAATTTTGAGTAGTGTAAGTATTCAATTGGAACAAATCTTAGATAAGGTGTCCAAGAGGAAGAGTCGGACAAGTTTAGGGGGTTGCGTATAATTTTTGATTGTGACTGCTGAATTGACCTCGATTATGGATATGATCTACCTGTTTCACCTCTATTCCTGTTATTATTATTATTATTATTATTATTATTATTATTATTATGCGTACATGTTAATATAAGTGGCCTGCCTTAGCCTCGTTACTACTTCGTCGAGGTTAGGCTCGGCACTTACAGAGTACATGGGGTCGGTTGTACTCATACTACACTCTGCACTTCTTGTGCATATACCGGAGTTAGTCCCAGTGGCATATTGTAGATTTGCTCGGATTTAACTATCAGAGGAGACTTGAGGTATAGTTGCACGGTGTTTGCAGCTCTAAAGTCCCCTTCTACGTTATCTTAGTTGTGTGCTTTTCTTTTCAGACAATTGTTTTTTTATATTCAGACCCTTATTTGTATTATTCGAGAAGCTCATGCACTTGTAACTCTAGTGCTGAGATGGTATTTTACATCGTTATTATTTTGGTTTGTTCACTTTATTTCCGATATTATTCCAGTTGTTTGGCTCCCTTACTATTTGGTTTAAATGAATTGTTAAAAAGCTTAAAATTATTCTAACGTTGGCTTGCCTAGTAAGTGAAATGTTAGGCGTCATCAC